TTGCTACCGAGAATGGAAATGCAAAGAAAGAGAATTAAGCTGGAGATAGAGAATTGACTCCCCTATTTGGTAGAACTGAGAACCCACTAGAGAAATGTTTTTGAGAATCATTTCTCTTGTTTGGTTGTATTAATCAATGAAATGGAAATGAGTTTTTTTACCTTGTTTATTCATTTTCAAACAACATTTTTTTATAAAAAATCATTATGATGTACATCTTAATTAGTCAAAATATACATCTTTTATGTCTTTAATTTTTTTATTTTAATATTAATTGTAACTAAATAATTTATTTTCTAATCAACTAATATTATTTTTTATACACCTTGTATTGGAAAACATATTTCTAATATAAAAGAATAACTTACAAATAGATTTTAAAGAAATATGCAAATCATAATATTCAAAAACTATGTCCAACATAGGATATATGCAAAAAAATATATTTCAATATTCCTAACAATTCAAAAAACATAATTATGTCTAATACAAAATGTACAAAGAGTCAGCTTCAATATTCGTAAAAACTAAAAAAAAAAACATAACTTAAAATAACCTAATCATGATATTGAGCCATCCTCAATCATTTTCATGTAACAAATAATTTTTCTTCTGTCAACTTACGAAACACTCGGGCAAAAAAATTGATCTTTGCTAAACATGTCAATCGCCTTAATTCATTGTTTGACATTGATATTTGGCATGCTTTGTATATATTCGATAACTTTATGTATCATATCACATGCTTCCTTATTTTCATGCCATCCTATATGATGCTAAAAATACTACAAACATAATCATTATAATACCTTTATGTACTCATCCCAAACTTCAGCATTGGCAGTAACACAACATTTATCTGTATCCCAGCCGAATCCACTTGTGTTTCTTCCATATACCTTGTCGTGCACGATGTTGAAATGGTTTTTCCATGTCTTCATCGTCGATTTAATATGAGGCTCTGCTTTTAAACCCAAGTTAGGAATACTTACATCTAGTAATTGTTGCATTGCCCTTAAATAATCGGGTTTGAATCCGTTGTCGGCACCACCATTCTTTCCGGATACATGTAACTCCAACAATGCCTCAATTAACTTTGAATCCTCTTCAGTAGTTCATGTGTGTTTGTTTCACCCTACCATGTCTACAAAAAATTTACATAATAGATGCTTGAATTAGTAATTCATCATAACAGCTCCTGTTTGTAGCTGTATAACTCAACCAAAACATAACAAATTAAGCTGTTTTTTATTCTAAAACGTAGACAAGAAAGGGGAGTACAGTTTGGAAAAACAAATCGCATCATTCCGAGCTTGTATGAAAGCTTTTATGATGGTTCAAAATTGGACAAAATTTTAAAAAAAATGTTGAAATATAATATAACAACCAAAACAGCCTCTATTTGTGGTTGTATAACTCAACCAAGACTTAACCAATTAAGCTTTTTTTATTCTAAAACGTAGACAAGACAGAGGAGTACAGTTCGAAAAAAAATCGCATCATTCCGAGCTTGTATGAAGCTTTTATGATGGTTCAAAGGCTTACAAAATTTAAAAAAAGTGTTGAAATATAATACAACAATCATAATAGTCTTTGTTTGTGGTTGTATAACTTAACCAAGACTTAACCAATTAAGCTTTATTTTATTCTAAAACGTAGACAAGACAGAGGAGTACATTTTGAAAAAAAAATCGCATCATTCCGAGCTTATATGAAGCTTTTATGATGGTTCAAAGTTGGACAAAATTAAAAAGAAAAAAAATGTTGAAATATAATACAACAATCATAACGACTCCTGTTTGTGGCTGTATAACTCAACCAAGACTTAACCAATTAATCTTTTTTTTATTCTAAAACGTAGACAAAACAAATGAGTACAATTTGAAAAAAAATCGCATCATTCCGAGCTTGTATGAAGCTTTTATGGTGGTTCAAAGTAGGGTAAAAATTCATAAAAAAATTTAAAAAAAAATTGCAATAGTAAAACAATTTCCATTGTACTGCTAACAATCTTACCATATTTTAACATCAAAAACAAAATTCAAACACGTTTAAAGAATTGATCTTGGCAAGATTTTAACACAATTAAAAAAAATCTTTAAATTGGAAGAATTGATATCAAGATTAGTCGGAAGAATTGATATAAAGATTAACAATCAAACCTTGAATTGGAAGAATTGATATCAAGATTAGCAATCACGCATTGAATTGGAAGAAGATAGTGCCAAAATCGTCGAATAATACATGAATGGAGCAACAGTCGTGACTTCTATCCTATAATGTCGGCTTTGATCCTATGTATCGGCATATGTATGGCAAACAGGATCAGTTTTGATCACTTACATGGGCCGCTTGCATGAATATTCAATAGCCACGTTTGAAAAATCTTGATCGGTTGCAGGTAGTGAGGTTCGAATGGGGGGTAATTTGATTTCTCCGCTTTTTTCTTTTGATTCTCAATCACATCTAGATACGTCATTTCTCTCTTTTCTCCTTTAAAATAGAGAATGGATTTGATGGAAAAGGAATTGATTTATTTCTCAATTCCTTAATTTCATTATTAACCAAACAAGAGAAAAGGAATCCATTCCTTTTCCCTGCACTTATTTCCCTATACCAAACACCCCCTTAGTACCTTAGGGTTCCAGATGTTACATTATGTATCCTTGAGGTCCCTTTGTAGTTCCTTGCTCCAAATCTGAAGTAATATAGAGTTTTGATTCCATGCTTGAGGTTTTGATTTCATTTTCTCCATTTCTGTTACCTAGCTTGGGAAAGAGATGCATTGGACATGCTTGTCTATAAAGCAAAGATTTTTATGACTTATGGGGTGTAAGAAAGTCCTCTAGAAAGAATTAATGGGTAGCTTGAAGGATTAAGAGCTTAATGCATTAAGTTGGTCAGATCAGGTTCCACAACGTGGAGGGTTAGCCACCATGATGTGGCAAATGCTTGGCCACGACGTGGTGGCCAATTGTTGAACTTTTGACTTTTGACTTTGACTAGTTAACCACTAAAATTTTGACCAAGTTGACCTTTAGCCAACTTGAGGGTTTTTGGGTTGTAGATTGAGGATTTGTCCTTGTTTTTTGTGTAGGTGACTCATAGTACCCGTTCTTGGATTCGTGTGAGCTATACTGATTATCTTCTAGACTACAAGGTGAGTTTTCTCACCATACTTTGTATTGCAATATGTATCCTTGTGTGTAGGATATTGGTATAATGTAGTGATATGTTAGATTGGTAGATCTGTTATGATTACATGTATTGTTGCTTATTTTTTGTTTTTTTGTTTTCATATGTCGACATATTGTGGTTAGGTTGAGGCAATTATGCTTTGTGTCGTAGGCCAAGATACCCGAGCGGTCCAGGTGTACTGTAGGTCTTACGAGGTGGTCCAGTTATACTGTAGTCCCAAGGGAGAGGTCCAACTATATTGTAGGCCTTTTGAGGTGGTCCAGTTTAATTGTAGGCTCGGTAGAGAGGTCCAGGTGTGTTGTAAACCTTGCGAGGTGGTCTAGTCAGATTGTAGGCTCAAGTGTGCATGCATTGTATGTGTATTTTTGTGTGGGATATTTTGACATGGTTGTAAAACAATGCTTTGATGACTTATTATTTCCATGAAAATGTCTTTTAAAAATAAAAAAATTACTATGGTTTTTGGGACGTTACATAATCATTAGTTACCTTTATATTCCAAAATTTACTGATACACAAGAAGATCAATAATTAACCAAAAGATCAATATACACCAATGGAATCATGATTTATAATATACTCTTAGATGTAGATGAATCTTGATCTTATGTGTTGATTGTTATTTGGATATTTTGAGTTATTTAATTTATCTTGTTTGTTTGATCAAAGATCCATATGTTTGATCTAGAGGACCAATCTGATTGTGTATGCTTGGATAATAGTTGACCATGACCATTAGAAACTGTGACTAGGAATGAACCAAATCATAAGGTTAGGTTAATAAAGTAATAAACTTTAATGTGTGTGTTTGCATTATATTACCATTATGTACATTGATTGATTGGCACCAATAACGCGATCAAGACTTGCATGATAGAAACTAACTACTAATTTTAGGGATACTTAATATCATGACCATTGAGTTAAAAGTCCTTAGATTCATTAAGATTTGTAATCTAACCACGGGAACAAAACAACTTAGGAATCGGTGAATAGCAAGTAATATCCATTATACGACATAAAAATCAACCATATTTGAAGGATGTAATCAAGCCTAAATAAAAATACCTTGAGCTACTTGTTACCAATCGGTTCTTCATATTGGTTTCGTTTTGTTCTGTTTCTCAAGTTTATATTAGTTTAAATGCAAATTTCCCTTCTATGTGTTGTGTCTTTAGTTTAACCGGTAATCGGTTTTTCTAAATTGAATCATACTCATTCACCTAGTGTCGACGTCCGTCATTGCCAAAACTATATTACTAAACTTTTTCATATATAGTTCAAATGACCTAATTCTTTTTGCTATAGCTTCCTCGTTGACTTAACTACATGTTAGAACATTCATAATACTAAAATTATGCAATTAAACATGGTTTCGATAGTAATTTCTAAGTGGTGCCTCTTAGGCCTTTTATATTGTAACTAATATAATTGTATACTACATAAAGTGCACATCCTTGGGTATTCAAGGCTTTTGTCTACTTCACATAAACCTTGTAAGATGTTTCAACCCAACAAACAAAAGCTATATCTTGTTCTTAGGCCACACGGAGTCGTTTCAAAATTTACAAATGGGTTAGGGTGGTACCCCCGGTACCGCCGGCAAACAACTTCCTTTTAATTGGGTTTAGCGGCTTGGAGGAGTTGTTTGTTTCTATAGGGTTCACCAACGCGTGAGTTAATGCATTCAATTTTCCTTGACCATTCAACTTTTCTTTAACTATTCATGCATGCATGCAATCATTTTCCTTGACCATTCAACTTTTCTTTAACTATTCATGCATGCGTGATGCAATCACTATATGCAAAGATTCCTGCCAAACTTTAATTTACTTTTATTGCATGTGAGTATTTTTGAACAATATTCACCAGCCACCCATGAGTATTTATTTTATTTATTTATCTACTTTTTTGCTTTCTTTTCATAAGTTTACGATGAATGCAAAATTTATTTATTTGTAGTGTTATTTGTAGTGTGATTTGTCTGGAAATATTTTACAAGTTGGTTTAATTCCTCTAGTAACCTTCAATGGATTCCCGAGGCAAAGGTAAACAAACCGGTTCTAACCAAAGACGCAAATCCACGCAAGACAGTTCAAGTCAAAATATTTCGTTTTCTCCTCCAACCTTTCATAACCCAAATCCAAACTATCAACAATACCAAATTTACCAACAAAACCAAAACTATCCACAACAATATTATCCGATGCAACAATCTTACAACACATTTACGCTTTCAGAGGAAAATCAGAGGAAAATCTGAGTTATAATCCATGTAATCAGTTTTCTCAAAGGGTTCCAGAAACTCAATTCCAATCTCCCCAACCCGAGCATTTCCAGTTCCGTGATTCTCATAACGTAGAATCTAAGAGTTCTAGCGACGATCCGGTTCCCGAAAGAAATGAATAAGAAACTAGCAAGGAGTTGCGACCTGTTGTTGAAAAAAACGCACCTTTACAAACCGCCAGAAGTCAAAGAAATGGGTGGAACGCGAAGAGTTGGCTTTGGCTAGGGGATATGTCGATTGTTCTCAAGATAAACAGCGTGGAAACCAAAAACGGTTCGATGCATTTTGGGATCGAGTTCTAGAGCATTTTAATGTTCAGATTGGAGGTTCGGATCGGACACGACACCAAGTAAACTCAAAATGGAAAGACCTGCAAAAGAAATGTAACGCTTTCAATTGCATCTATAACCGTAGGATGAATAGTGTGGCTAGCGGGAGATCTGAGGCTGATGTTTTAAAAGCCTCACTAAGCGAGTATCGGAGTACTATTAATCAAAAATCCTTTCCTCATCAAAAAGCTTGGGAGTGGTTGAAAGGCCACGCGAAATGGGCGTTGGTTACAAAAGTTGGTGAAGACTCCCCGCCTCCTTCTTCAAAACGAACTAAAACATCTTCATCTAACGCCCATACAACATCTTCCGATGCACATTATCCTCCCGGATTCCCCCAACAACAACAACCGTTTAATGTTGAAGACTCACCGCCTCAGAGAAAAAGAAAAGGAAAAAAAGCGGCATCAGTATCGTCAACACAAAATGAAATGTTTGATCTTGTCAACCATATTGCCAGCATCAACACTACAACCAACACAGAGGCGGAACAGAGACAACGGTACCGGGAACAAAAATTACGCATTTTCGAAGCTAATGAAGCATTGAAAGCTCAATTGTTGGAGCGAGAGATAGAGAACCAAGATATGGAGTATTTTCTATGACCGCATGATCATTTGACTGGAGCTATTTTGAGCACGGTTCTTGAAAGGAAACGACAAATTGCAACTAAATATGGTTGAGAGTTGTAGAACCCGTGAAGTTCAGAATGTCGACATCATTTTACTGAGAATATTTTTCTTTTTTAGATTATTTTTCTTTTTCTTTTTCTTTTTCTTTTTTCTTTTTATTAAGATTCTCTTGTTTCACTATCTATATATATGAATGCTTGTTTCATTATCTCTCTATATATGTTTGTTTCATTTTCTCTCTATCGTTTCTCTCTCTTTCAAAATGAATCCAAACGTTCGCAAAATAGTAATGGATGGTAACAACGATAGTTCATCTTCTGAGGATGAACTTATCAACAATAATTTGTTACCTGCATTATGTTGTACTGCACAACTTCTTCTCCAAAATAATGTTAGCTCAAGTAACAATCAAAGGAGAAACACAATCCAAAGAGATCGTTTAGAGGCTGAACAACTACTGATCCAACATTACTTTGCAGATGATTCAACATATGGTCATGATCTATTCCGTAGAAGGTTCTGTATGAGCAAAGGTTTGTTTATGCAACTTGTTGGTGATCTAGAGATGAATTATCCATATTTTCAAACGACATTGGATGCAACAAATCAGAGAAGTTTCAGTGGGCTACAAAAATGCACCTCAGCAATACGTCAATTAGCGAAGGGTTATAACCCAGACTCATTAGATGAGTATCTAAATATGTCTGAAAGAACTTCTAGTGAAGCTCTAGAAAACTTTTCCTATGGTATTGTCCAAATGTATAAGGCTGAATATTTACGCCGTCCAACATCCACTGACATTCAAAATTTGTATGAAGCAGATGAAGCTAGACATGGATTCCCTGGAATGCTTGGTAGCATTGACTGCACACATTGGAATTGGAGGAATTGTCCAACATAACTAAGAGGCCAATACATGAGGGGTGACCATCAGTATCCAACAATGATACTAGAAGCAGTGACATCACAAGATTTATGGTTTTGGCATGCATTCTATGGTGTAGCTGGTTCGAACAATGATTTGAACGTCCTCTACCAATCACCATTGTTTGATGCGAAATATCATGGAACAGGACCTGATTGCTCATTTGATCTGAATGGTGAACACTACAAGCATGGTTATTATCTTGCCGATAGAATATATCCAACATGGGCTGTATTCGTGAAGGCATATCCACATCCAATAACAGACAAAAAGAAACGGTTCAAGGCGGCACAAGAATCAGCAAGAAAGGACGTAGAACGTGTGTTTGGGGTCCTTAAAGGACGTTGGGACATATTAAAGATGTCGGCACGGGCTATGACGGTGAAGAAAACGAAAAACATAATGTATGCTTGTATTATACTGCACAATATGATACTGAAAGATGAAGGTGCTGCGATATCTCCTGTGCATCACCCCGACCCCCCCAATGACGAAGTCGAAGACCCAGAAATCATACATGAATTGCGCAATGATGAAACCCACCACCAGCTTCGATCTGATCTTACCGATCACATTGAACATGTCTACATTTCAATTTTGGATAACTAGTTAATTTTAATTATCGTTTTAGGATCTTAATTATTTTGTCTTTTTGAAGTGTTTTTTTAATTATCGTGTATTTTTTTTCTATTTGTAGTGTGGTTTTTTAATTAATTTTATTTTTAATATTATTTTTGTTTTTTTTTTGTTTTAAATTAGCAAATATTTATTTTTAAATAAAAAATGCTATATTTTATTTTATTTTATCTTTTTTAATTTAATTAAATGATGTGGAAAGTGGGTTGAGTGGGTTGGGAAAGATAGGATTTCCATGTGTTGTGGGTTGGGAAAGATTGAAATGAGAGAATAGAAAAAAAACTGATGTGGCAGTTGGATTGAGTGGGTTGAGAGGGAAGGACTCCCTCCTCCCTTATGTATCTTTCACCCATTTTTTTGTTCAATGCTTTCTCCAAATAGCAATGTACTTTGGATTTTGTTCCAATCTTTGTACTACCTCATGGAGATAAGCACATAAAGACCAATACCCGAGCCCGTAATAGAACTGGACCTTAACCGATACCGATTAAGCATATGTGTTCTGGTTCCAAATCTTTGACTTTCGGTATTCACTATTACCGGTACCAGTTCCATTGAATTATAGTGCAACAATGACATGGTACTAGAACCGATTTGCATGGTTTGTTTGCTATAACGTGGAAAGCTTATTATGTATTCAAACCAATTTGTATGGCTAAGAAAACATTATATTTTTTCCAAAAGCTATTTCGGTTCCTGATCTTCAATTTCAAATCAAATGTGGGAATCTGTATCATAATTAAACACATACCATCACTATAAATACGTATCCATATTCACACATTCTACAATCTTCAAAGAAATACTTCAAACTAAACATCATTTGGTTCTGTTGTGTTGCTGGCATGCTGTTGCGTTAATTTCAGCCACCAAATGTCAACCATTTATAATTTATAGGCAACAACTTGCAAAATAAGAAAACACAAAGGTCATGTATATGTAAAAATGAGATGCAATTAGTGATATCCCTTACAAAATACGAACTGCCCACAAACATCGTGTATCTTTGTGACCATGCCCATAAACATTATGATTGCATAAGCCACTTAATTACACTTGATTTTATAGCAATAGAATTTGTTCATAACTTACTCTATATGTGTTCGGTTTCAATGCTAAGGTTGGTCTAAAACTGGTTGGCTAGGACCATGCTCATCCCTACTACCTCATGTATTGTTGTATCATTCCCTTTCTAATACATGCTATGACATGTATAAACATAATTCCAACCAAGTATGAATTTGGGATTTTGGTTTTTCTTTTCGATTTGATTAATAAAATGTTCTTTTAAGTTTTCTTCTTTGTTTTGTAATTTGATTTGGTTTCAAGTGAAGATGGAGAAGAAAAAAAAAGTATGTGTTAATGAAGTTAAATTGTAACCATGTTTTAGAGTTGTTCATCCTAGTAATTTGACATGACAAAACCATAGCAACCCGATTTGAAATAATTTCATTAAATAGTAAGTTTGTTTCAACTATAAATACGCCCAAAACTTTTTTGCAGTTCTAAAAAAAAGGTACCACAAAAATTTTAAATAGGTTTTAGCCACTAAAGGTATTCTTTTTGTTGCAAGTATGTGTACAATCAACTTGTGAAATGATCAACGTAACATAACATGATGATTAACATAAATAAACATTTAAAAACTTACTATAAAATACATTTGATGTTAGATTCATTACACTCATGACTTCTTTTAATTAATCCCCTCATGTTTCTTGCACCTTAAGCATGTTTTATTGACACAAGAATTAAAAACAACATAAATGATTCAAATTGAGAAATAATCATGCAAAAAACTCGAACCCAATCCAAAAATCTCAAGTACATGTTTTTTATTTGCTCAAAACAACATTTTGATTTTTGAGTTTTGACCCAGAAACTGGATTCTTGCTAACCCCAGATTTAATCAAATCCCCTACTACCCTAAAACAATTGTACTTCAATTCAAATGTCATTACAACAATTCTAAGCTTTCATTCATTCCAAAAAAGTATAAACTCACTTGAAGGTGTAAGCAACCAAAAATCCGCAACCAGTACAACACAGAAAAAGCCAAGTCGTATTATTTCCTCATAATCTTCCCACTAAAATTAAAAAATTATAATCCAGCCTTCTTCTCCAGTTTCTGAATTTGGTTCAAGAAAATCCACGTCATCTGTCACCCCACAAATCCACCAATCAGAAACACACACACACACATAATAAAAAAACACCCTTTGACTTTTCAGTTACAAAAATGAGAAAGAAAAGAGTACAAATACAAACCATGACATGTGGCGCAATCCTAACACAGTATACTGGAAACCCTGTGTAGAATCTGAAAGGTCCTCCAGCTTTGAGTGTTTTCATGGCACAATCTAGAGAACCTGTATACGGGTATTTCCCTGTAGCATCAGGTTGCATCTTCTGTATTTGTGTTTTCACAAAGTCAAAGGGTAAACTACACGCAGCAGCAAAGAACCCTGATATAGAACTCGCCCCTGAAATCATTCCCAAAATCATAAACTTCTGTTTTCATATTTTTATACTTTTATGGTTTTATGGTTTTGTGGTTTTGTGATTTGATCTTACCTACAATTGTAGCAGCTTCACCAAAGCCAAGATTGTCTTTGAAGAATTCAACACTTTGATCATAGGATGCAAGCATGCCCATGTTCAATGCCATTGCCCTAACTACAGTGGGACCCGCACCTTTCCAGAGAGCTAAAACTCCTTCATCTGCAGTGATTCTGTAGAGAGCATGGAATGCGTTTGTGTAGTTACGACGTTGGGCTAAGGGTAGTGTGGCATCAGCTTGCATACGGATGAGTGCCAGGTCAGCAGGGCTTCCTACACAGGCTCCGATTGCGCCAGCTGTCAGTCCACAGAGAGCTTTTTGATATAAAGGTAGTGGCTTTCCATCGTTGGCTTCAAGTGCCTTGTTTGTTAGAATCCTGTTAAGTGATTAAAGAGTCACATAAACAACCGGAAACGATAAATCTGTGTTTTTGGGGTTGATGAAGCATTAATGGTGTACCTGAATGTACCAAGTCTGGCTGTTGTGTATGTAGCTTGTCTAAGTAATCCAGCAGAAAGACCCTGTTGAAAACAATTTGCTTCACAGATCAGTAGATGAAGAATGATGAATGATGAATGATGAATGTAGTACTGAGGTATGATAAAGAAATGAAAATTAGGGAAGGGGTTATGAAGAATCAGAGTAAGATAAACCTTACAATTTGGGATTTAGATCGTTTGAAATTATCAGATCAACAGAGACAAAGAAGAGGACAAACCTTATAGAAGGCACCGACTCCCTCATTCTTCAGCATAGTCTTTGTCACATCGCCTGCAGATCCTTGACCCAATTGGATTCTCACCTGTAAGTAGCAAATCATGTCAATGAAATTAGATCAAACATAGTATACAG